TAGTATGCTGGATGGCATTTCTGTAGCTTCTACCCGTGGGTCTGAGTCCTGGAACTCTATAGAATTAGTTTAATCCCTTTTCCATGTAAGACCCATAGAGACTAGAAAGCAGGTGCCATGGCCTTCCTGAGACTTTTTTCCTGGAGGGTGAACCATCCAAGTCTGTATTCCGGGCCTGCAAAGCCGACTTCATTCATCACAAGGTGGGGCAACGAGAAGCAGCAGGGCCGTGCATTTCTCTTCTCTTCTGGGGAAGCACCAAAATGATAGGAGAGATCCTGCTTATTTTGAAGGACAGCACACTGCCAGTATCATTGTATCCTAAACTACCTTTTGAATAACACTGATAGTAATGTTGCAGTTGCCAACATCTTTATTCATTGCTAATTCAGTTTCTGAGGTTCCTTTTCTATTTTCAGTAGTAACTTAATACTCTGAATAGCAAAGCTTAACCTTTGGAAAAAGTTCCTCCTCTATTCCTGTACTTTTCACTTTTATCTTCTAAGGCTGGGGTAAGCAAACATGCTTTTACTGGCAATTTACTTGTTTGCTTTCCAGAGTGGCTCTGTTGATTTGAATTGCAGTGCGGGGAGGGGGATACCAGGTCCTGTGTTTCCTTACGTGTATGGTTTAAGCCCAGGGTGCTTTTCCACATGCTCCCTTTATCACTTCAATTCTGTTTGTTAGGGTAGGAATCCCATGTTCAGGGGCACACCTGGGCATTGAGCATTAATGTGACAGGTACTTTATGAATAATTTAAGCCTCCAATCTGTGGTGTTTTAATCTGGTTATAATGAGAACCGTTTGAGAATTAAAAAATGCAAATATTTTGCATCGTTCCCATTACACATATATATATATATATNAGGAGTATTTAGAACTCTTCAGTTCAAGGCAAAGTGTTCATTAAATTCTTCCTCTTAGACACGGCTAGGAAACTAATCATTTTACTGATCTTTTGTGGATTACCTATCTTTCTGGAATAATTTTACCAAAACAAGCTATTTGAGTCTTGACTTGGCAAGATAAGACATGACAGTGGATTCTCTTTATGAATAATAAAAAAAAATCCTTGTTTTGTACAGATGATTTCCCTTTTTGTACTGAATCCTTTCTATTGGTAAAAATTGTAAATTAAAATGTACAATTTGAAGGTTGTCTGTGTTAAGTTTCCATATCCCTGCTCTGCTCTCTCTTAGATACTATGTAGTTTATGCAGCCAGTCATCCCTTGATGAGCATTTAGGAAGAATTCAGTGTTCTTTGCTATCAGAGTGACATAGCACACATTTTTGTACAGACATTCTGTTTACGTGTTGGAGAATATCGGGGTTAATTCCTGGAAACAGAATTCCTTGCTTTTCATTTTACTGAAGCAGGATGCTTCTGAACTTTGAGTTAGAAATCGTATCTGATTGTAGTATGCTGGATGGCATTTCTGTAGCTTCTACCCGTGGGTCTGAGTCCTGGAACTCTATA